TAAGTAGGAAAACCTGCAAAATCGGCAGTGTATCAAATACTTGTTCTCCCCACTGTATGTGATCTCGCTCTCCGTAGCCGATTTGAGGAAGACCTTTAAACAAGTTTACGTTTAAACCTGAGCTGCTGCTACTCTGTTTATTATCTATCCTGATTGACAAGTCAATTGTACCCCTACCTACTGTACATATTACCTCAATTAGTAGGTGTTCCTCTTGTCCAGGTGGGTGAGGGCAGTGTGGTGTGGATCTGTTGGGGCGGTGTTGGAGTGGGTCCAGGGTGTCTGGGTTGATGGTGTTGATGTGAGCCAATACCAGCCTTTCAAAGCACTTCATGGCTACAGACGTCAGTGCCATGGGTCGGTAGTCATTTAGGCAGGTTACCTTAGAGTCCTTGGGCACAGGGGACTATGGTGGTCTGCTTGAAACATGTTGGTATTACAGACTCAGTCAGGGACATGTTGAAAACGTCAGTGAAGACACTTGCCAATTGGTCAGCGCATGCTCGGAGTACACGTCCTGGTAATCTGTCTGGCCCCGTGGCCTTGTGAATAAATCAAATCAAATGTTATTTGTCACAAGGCTTACTTATGAGCCCTTCCCAACAATGCAGAGTTAAAAAGGGAAGACAAATATTTGCTAAATAAAAAAAGGAAATAGTAACACAACAAAATAACAATAACGAGGCTATATACAGGGGGTACCGGTACCGAGTCAATGTGCGGGGGTACAGGTTAGTCGAGGTAATAACGAGGCTATATACAGGGGGTACCGATACCGAGTCAATGTGCGGGGGTACAGGTTAGTCGAGGTAATTGAGGTACAGTAGGTAGGGGTAAAGTGACTATTCATAGATAATAAACAGCGAGTAGCAGCAGTCAATGCAAATAGGCATTAATACGGAGTTGGTCCCCCCTTTGCTGCTATAACAGCCTCCACACTTCTGGGAAGGCTTTCCACTAGATGTTGGAACATTGCTGCGGGGGGACTTGCTTCCATTAAGCCACAAGAGCATTAGTGAGGTCTGGCACTGATGTTGGGCGATTAGGCCTGGCTCACAGTCGGCGTTCCAATTCATCCCAAAGGTGATCGATGGGGTTGAGGTCAGGGCTCTGTGCAGGCCAGTCAAGTTCTTCCACACCGATCCCGACAAACCATTTCTGTATGGACGTCGCTTTGTGCATTGTCATGCTGAAACAGGAATGGGCCGTCCCCAAACTGTTGCCACACAGTTGGAAGCACAGAATCATCTAGAATGTCATTGTATGCTGTAGTGTTAAGATTTCCCTTCACTGGAACTAAGGGGCCTAGCCCGAACCATGAAAAACAGCCCCAGACCATTATTCCTCCTCCACCAAACCTTACAGTTGGCTCTATGCATTCGGGCAGGTAGCGTTCTCCTGGCATCCACCAAACCCAGATTCGTCCATTGGACTGCCAGATGGTGAAGCGTGATTCATCACTCCAGAGAACGTGTTTCCACTGCTCCAGAGTCCAATGGCGGCGAGCTCACACACCACTCCAGCCGACACTTGGCATTGCGTTTGGAACTCTGTAGTGAGTACAGATTATTTTTACACGCTTCGCGCTTCAGCACGCAGGTCCCGTTCTTTGAGCTTGTGTGGCCTACCACTTTGCGGCTGAGCCGTTGTTGCTCCTAGACGTTTCCACTTCACAATAACAGCACTTACAGTTGACCGGGGCAGCTCTAGCAGGGCATAAATTTGATGAACTGACTTGTTGGAAAGGTGGCATCCTATGACGGTGCCAAGTTGAAAGTCACTAAGCTCTTCAGTAAGGCCATTCTACTGCCAATGTTTGTCTATGGAGATTGAATGGCTGTGTGCTCGATTTTATACACCTGTCAGCAACGAGTGTGGCTGAAATAGCCGAATCCACTAATTTGAAGGGGTGTCCACATACTTTTGTACATGTAGTGTATTATCTCAAAATGTAGTCTGAATGGTGGAAGAACCTGGATAATTTGAAAATTAAGAAAATCGTTTTGAGGAACATTGCACTATACACCCCTTGAAAAAGTCATTTATTTCAATGTAACTGAATATTCATGTTTGGACATACAAAAGTACCATAAGTTGTAAAACATGTACCTATAAAATCCATTGAAGCTAAAGTAATAATTGTTGAGATGAGTAAAAATGACATGTCTTTCAAACTCGATCGTATGCTCTTCGGATTGTCTAATGCACCACGTATCTTTCAACAATCAATGATGTATTCTATATTGGTCGAGATACTCATAATGGTTTTAGACCCATGATTGAGGGAGGTTTGGAGTCTAAAGCCAATTTCCTGTGCTAATTTAGATGCCTCTTTCCAGAAGAGTCCAGAAGAGTCCAAGGCTGAGCTAGACTATGGCCTCACCTGGAAAGAGCCAGAGTGAAGGGGGTCCATTTCCTAATGTATTGGCCCAATCCAGAGTGAAGGGGGTCCCTTTCCTAATGTATTGGCCCAATCCAGAGTGAAGGGGGTCCATATCCTAATGTATTGGTCCAATCCAGAGTGAAGGGGGTCCATTTCCTAATGTATTGGCCCAATCCAGAGTGAAGGGGGTCCATATCCTAATGTCTTGGCCCCATCCAGAGTGAAGGGGGTCCATTTCCTAATGTATTGGCCCAATCCAGAGTGAAGGGGGTCCATTTCCTAATGTATTGGCCCAATCCAGAGTGAAGGGGGTCCATATCCTAATGTATTGGCCCAATCCAGAGTGAAGGGGGTCCATTTCCTAATGTATTGGCCCAATCCAGAGTGAAGGGGGTCCATTTCCTAATGTATTGGCCCAATCCAGAGTGAAGGGGGTCCATTTCCTAATGTATTGGCCCAATCCAGAGTGAAGGGGGTCCATTTCCTAATGTATTGGCCCCATCTAGATGAATGCAGTGAAGGACTCGTAAGTGGAAACAGAGTGAGGAGGTGGATTAAGACTAGGACTAGTATCCATGTGGGTAGGAGGTTAATCTGTAATCAGATTACGGCTGTGGACCGTGGGGCTAGGGCCCTGCACCATCTGTCAACAACCACCTACTCATGGGAATCTGGTAGCAGATCTGTTTGTCTTGCCAACTACCATGGTTGTTGAAACAGCACAAACAGATCTGGGACCAGTCTAGGAATTTGGGGATTTTTTATTTTTTTTATTTTTTTTGTCATTTAGCAGACGCTCTTATCCAGAGCGATTTACAGGAGCAATTAGGGTTAAGTGCCTTGCTCAAGGGCACATCGACAGATTTTTCACCTAGTCGGCTCTGGGATTAGAACCAGCGACATTTCGGTTACTGGCACAACGCTCTTAACCACTAAGCTACCTGCCGCCCTGATTCTATCTGAAAAACCATTAGGCAATATAAGAAGTTTAGACAAGTACAGACAACGTTGGAGTCATGTCTGTAGACTGAACAGAATTGAAACGACAGGATTCCTTTATCTCAGATCTTGTGTTGGAAAATAACTGCTGTGCATCCATAAGAATGAAAGCCAGCCTTAAAAATACACTTTTTTTCTGAGGCAGAGAAATATGTAATTGAGCCCATCGTTGCTCAACCGTTAAGTGCCCACTCAGGCTTCTGTGTTTACCTGAGCAGAGGTTAGAGGTAAGAGGTTGTTTGCTGTTGTTGATATTAAGTAGACACACTATCCCACTGAGAGATCAGGTAAACACCTGGGCTTTACCTTCCCTGAACTACAGGTAGACAACCAACAATTACTCATTTCCTAAACCATGATGACAGACAATACACTTCCACTGCCAGAGTAGGTTCACATTGACCTGAGTGGGTTCACATTAAGCTGGTCCCAGATCTGTTGGTGACAACACCTGTTAGAGTGGGTTCACATTAGCCTGGTCCCAGATCTGTTGGTGACAACGCCTGCCAGAGTAGGTTCACATTAGCCTGGTCCGAGATTACATTTACATTTGAGTCATTTAGCAGACGCTCTTATCCAGAGCGATTTACAGTTAGTGAGTGCATACATTTTCATACTGGCCCCCTGTGGGAAACGAACCCACAACCCTGGCGTTGCGAGTGCCCTGCTCTACCAACTGAGCTACACGGGGCCACAGATCTGTTGGTGACATCGCCTGTTAGAGTTGTCAAGACAGCACAAATAGATCTGGGACCAGGCTATTTTCAAATGTGTCTCCGCCTGAAATAACGAATGCAAAGCAAACTTAATACCTCGACATTTTGATACAATATGAACTATCTCACTTCCTACTGGATCGATAGCCGGAGCCATATCTGCTTGAACTTTTTTTTGTTTTTACCTACATGTATGTTTGGCACCCTCTACTCCTCCTCTCCGGAAGGGTTTTAACTTGCGACTGAAATAGTTCTCATACTAGGAATGTCCGACTGCTTATTTTGTCTTGGTGAAGGCTAGCCAGTGGTGAAGGCCCGATATCCTGCTAGCTACTCTATGAGAGGACCCTCAGTGGACGTGGGGGGAACCTAGAACAACATTGATGTAACAATAACCGCCTCTGTGGACGGGGAACCTAGAACAACGTTGGTGTAACAGGGCTGTGTCTGAAATGCCACCCGACTGGCTGCATGGAGCACTATGTTTCACCGGGGGCCCCTTGTAGAGTCCATGGAGCTCTGGTGAAAAGTAGTGCAGTTTTACAGGGTAATAGGATGCCACTTGGGATACAGACTCAGTCTCCCTACCGTTATGAGAGAGTCTAAGCTCAGAAGCAGAGATATGGAGATTTAACAGGCCTGTAGCTGTGTGTTACAATTAGAGAGAAGTTGGGGGAGGGAGGGAGGGAGGGAGGGGAGGGGGAGGGAGGAGGGAGGGAGGGAGGGAGGAGGGAGGGAGGGAGGGAGGGGAGGGAGGGAGGGGAGGGAGGGAGGGAGGGAGGGAGGGGGGGAGGGAGCGAGACAGGCATGTGAGAAGTATTAGAAGATTACTGCATCAGAGAGCGTGAAGGGACATGAACAGAAGTATTAGCAGATTACTGCATCGGAGAGCGTGACGGGACATGAACAGAACAGGTACACGTGGGACATTCCACCCGTCTCTGAGTGGCTCCGTCAGGACGGGGACGTGGCAGGACCCTTTGGAGCTGTCAGAGGAGGACATCAAAGTTGCGATCAATTCCATTTCTGAGATTCAATTTATATTGGAACAGTTTTACTTTGAAATTGAAATGGGATTGACCCTGGAGGACATAAGCAGAGAGGATGCAGCTTTCACTGTACAGTGTGATACTGTAGGCCTAGATGTCTAACCCAGGTCGAGGTACAGGGGGATACTTTGGTACAGAAGATACTTATTGCACAAATGGTCCTAAAGCAGAATTCCAATAGTAGATAATAGTCACAAGTTACTCCGTGATCAACCATAAGCCTACAGAGATATTGGTTCCAGGCAGGCTTGGTTTGCCTCGTTCGACCATCCTGACTTACAGATCTCATTCTGTTTCTCTGTAAACACAGCAGTCAGTCGGTTTCACCAGCCAAAGGCTGGGTTAGAGTTAAGGAGTTCTGGCGTTACCACACTTTCAAGGAAAGCCTGGAAGGAAAAAAGCAGGAAAGGCTGGAATCGATTTTAGGGTTAAAAGAGGCAGACAGGGTTAAAGCTGCATTATGTAACTTTTTGGGAGACCCGACCAAATTCACATAGAAATGTGAGTTACATATCTGTCATTCTCATTGAAAGCAAGTCTAAGGAGCAGTAGATATGTTCTATGTGCGCTATTTCTATGCTTCCCATTCTTAAGTTTAGTTTTTGGGACTTTTACTTTGTTTTTTTACACCAGCTACATACAGCTGAAAATACAATATTTTTGCTTATGGAAAAATATATTTCACAGCGGTTTAGATGGTACAATGATTCTCTGGTTATAGAAAAGTAGTTTAGATGGTACAATGATTCTCTACACTATACTTTCTTGTTTTGTCACATAAACATTTCCCGTTTTTGCAAACGGGAAATGACGGAGCGATTTCTGCATAGTGCATCTTTACGGGAGGCCGGCCCGGGTTTAGGCTTGCACACATCGCACCGAATGTGGATCTAGCGTTCCTCCGACCATCATTCAGTGGGCTGTGTTTTAGGAGACCGTCCGTTGCAGACGTCTGACTGCCAACATGTTCGCGTATGTCTACATTTAATATCTGTGTGCACTGGGTGTGCCAATCACTGCAGGTACTCTGTTCAGAGGTGCTCAGTACTCTCGCTATTGTTGTGTCTGAACCCATAGGGTTAAGGGAAGAGTTTCCAGGCAGGAAGGGTTAAAGGGAAACGAGCTGATTGACAGGAATGATGTTCTAGAAGCTCGTACAGCAGATCAGGAGTAAATCAGTGACAGCAAACAGCATGGGAACCTCTCAAAGGTTCTATCTCTATAGTAACAACAGGATGGTACAGCATGGGAACCTCTCTAAGGTTCTATCTCTATAGTAACAACAGGATGGTACAGCATGGGAACCTCTCTAAGGTTCTATCTCTATAGTAACAACAGGATGGTACAGCATGGGAACCTCTCTAAGGTTCTATCTCTATAGTAACAACAGGATGGTACAGCATGGGAACCTCTCTAAGGTTCTATCTCTATAGTAACAACAGGATGGTACAGCATGGAAACCTCTCTAAGGTTCTATCTCTATAGTAACAACAGGATGGTACAGCATGGGAACCTCTCTAAGGTTCTATCTCTATAGTAACAACAGGATGGTACAGCATGGGAACCTCTCAAAGGTTCTATCTCTATAGTAACAACAGGATGGTACAGCATGGGAACCTCTCTAAGGTTCTATCTCTATAGTAACAACAGGATGGTACAGCATGGGAACCTCTCTAAGGTTCTATCTCTATAGTAACAAACAGGATGGTACAGCATGGGAACCTCTCAAAGGTTCTATCTCTATAGTAACAACAGGATGGTACAGCATGGGAACCTCTCTAAGGTTCTATCTCTATAGTAACAACAGGATGGTACAGCATGGGAACCTCTCTAAGGTTCTATCTCTATAGTAACAACAGGATGGTACAGCATGGGAACCTCTCTAAGGTTCTATCTCTATAGTAACAACAGGATGGTACAGCATGGGAACCTCTCTAAGGTCATTCTAATTCTATGGTTTTATCTCTATGACCACAGCAGGTGACTCTGGTAGCTGCGTATATATTATTTTTTTGGGGGGGGGGTTGTTGTAAGGAATTATATTTAACTATCAATTTTTCGCTATTGTCCCTTCAAATAATTGTATTCATTATAACACAGGAATGTAAAACCCCTCCACTGTTTTCGTAATCTTAACCTATCTAGTAATTATAGAATAACCCAACGTTGGTAGCCTGTTCTGTTTCATGCAACACTTTCTGCTGTTAAATGTGTTGGATAAAATGTATCGCTGATCAAACGTTCTCATGAGGCCCAATGCGAAGCCACGATAGCAATCGATTTAGACAACATTTTTACATGCAAATCTGATTGGACACAGCGTTTGATTATAAAAAAATAAATAATAATCAGCCTCAATTTAACTTCCAGAGTTGCTTTTTTTTTCTTTTCTGAGGGCTAATCATGGACAATTCCAGGGACAGCTCTAGCCGGGGACAAAATGGAGGACGTCTGGTCACCCAACTCTCTTGGCTTCTAATCACTATGGTCAGAGCAGGAAGGTGGAGCAGTGGATCCTGTCGGATCTAGGGATCCTGTCGGATCTAGGGATCCTGTCACTGGGCTAACGTCACAGCAGGGGCCCAGCATCAGGGGCCCAGCATCAGGGGCCCAGCATCAGGGGCCTTCTGCCTGTGTGAGAAACACTGTGATCAGAGAGAGCACGGCATTAGTGTTGACAGCCAACCATCCCACTAATACTAAAGTAGAATATCACTAATATAATAATAGAATATATACCATTTTAGCAGACGCTTTTATCCGAAGCGACTTACAGTCATGCTTGCAGAACATTCAACCACTATCTACCAATTGAGCTACAGAGGACCACTGTAACTCCTTCCTATGGATAGAATATGATGCTAATCCAACTGTTAAATGGGCAGCTAGTCTCGATCTCTAGCAATGCTATTTCTATGAGTCAGCTGCCCAGGGCAGAGGCCATCTGCTGAGCTGATCAGATAATGACTGTCTTTAGGGGAAACCTTGAGACAGGCCCTGAAGCTATTGTGAGTCATTCTCTGATACAGAGTAGAGCAAAGTGTTACATTATCTGATATAGACCAAAGCCAGCAAAAACAAACGAAATGGTCCCTCCCCAAAGGAAAGGATGCTTCCAGTAACCTGTCAGTCATCACTGAGTGACAGGCAGAAACAGCCAGTCATTATCAGATGTGAACCAATAGCTTACTGACCCCCCCCCCCTATCTCCTCTCCTATAGGTTAATGGCTTCTTCACCTTGTTGTTTGGCCTGGCCAGCATCAACACCCTGACTGTCATCAGTGTCACCAGATACATCAAGGGATGCCACCCTAGCAAAGGTCAGAATAACATATAAACTATAACACAAAGGTAAGAATAACATATCAACTATAACACACAGGTCAGAATAACATATAAATTATAACCTCCCGAGTGGCGCAGTGGTCTAAGCTGTGCCACTAGAGATCCTGGTTCGAATCCAGGCTCTGTCGTAGCCGGCCGCGACCGGGAGACCCATGGGGCGGCGCACAATTAGCCCAGCGTCGTCCAGGGTAGGGGAGGGGCCGGCAGGGATGTAGCTCAGTTGGTAGTGGGTTCGATTCCCACAGGGGTATAAAAAAGAGAATGTAAGTCGCTCTGGATAAGAGTGTCTGCTAAATGACATAAATGTAAATAACACAAATGTCAGGATAACATATCAATTATAACACAAAGGTCAGAATAACATATAAACTATAACAGCTAAGCTATCATCTAAAGTAGGGTGACAAAATGCTCGTAACTTCCACAGAATTCCCAGGTTCTCCAGAAATTCTGCTTTGAGGATTCCATTTCATGATTCCCTCCTGATTCCAGGGAATCTTCTAAGCGGGACTTCTGAAAAACCTGGGAATTTTGGGAAAGTTACCAGAGTTTTGTAGCCCTAATCTATAGGTTATGATATAGAGAGAGAGAGAGACAGACAGAGAGAGAGACAGAGTGGAGACAAATTTGACCGCAATAACTAGCGTGGGATATGCATCAACAGCAACCTTGGGAAAATCCTCTTATCATTAATAGCAGACTTGTACATTTCCTTAGTGAAAAAGAGAGCAAATGTCAAATTGGCAGTTAAATTTGGCAAAAAACACACACATTTATTTCCACAGGGCCATGGGGTGAGACAGGGATGCAGTTTAAGCCCCACCCGCTTCAATATGTATATCAACAAATTGGCAAGGGCACTAGAACAGTCTGCAGCACCCGGCCTCACCCTAGAATCTGAAGTCAAATGTCTACTGTTTGCTGATGATCTGGTGCTTCTGTCACCAACCAAGGAGGGCCTACAGCAGCACCTAGATCTTCTGCACAGATTCTGTCAGACCTGGGCCCTGACAGTAAATCTCAGTAAGACAAAAATAATGGTGTTTCAAAAAAGGTCCAGTTGCCAGGACCACAAATTAAAATTCCATCTAGACACCGTTGCCCTAGAGCACACAAAACACGATACATACCTCGGCCTAAACATCAGCGCCACAGGTAACTTCCACAAAGCTGTGAATGATCTGAGAGACAAGGCAAGAAGGGCCTTCTATGCCGTCAAAAGGAACATAAAATTTGACAACCCAATTAGGATCTGGCCAAAAACACTTGAATCAGTTATAGAACCCCATTGCCCTTTATGGTTGTGAGGTCTGGGGTCCGCTCACCAACCAAGAATTCACAAAATCGGACAAACACCAAATTGAGACTCTGCATGCAGAATTCTGCAAAAAATATCCTCAGTGTACAACGAAAAACACCAAATAATGAATGCAGAGCAGAATTAAGCCGATACCCGCTAATTATCCAAATCCAAATTATAGAACCACCTAAAAGGAAGTGATTCCCAAACCTTCCATAACAAAGCCATCACCTACAGAGAGATGAACTTGGAGAAAAGTCCCCTAAGCAAGCTGGTCCCGGGACTCTGTTCACAAACACAAACAGACCCCACAGAGCCCCAGGACAACAACACAATTAGACCCAACCAAATCATTAGAAAACAACATTCTGACACATTGGAATTAATTTACCAAAAAACAGAGCAAACTAGAATTCTATTTGGCCCTAAACAGAGAGTACACAGTGGCAGAATACCTGACCACTGTGACTGACCCAAAATTAAGGAAAGCTTTGACTATGTACAGACTCAGTGAGCATAGCCTTGCTATTGAGAAAGGCCGCCGAAGGCAGACCTGGCTCTCAAGAGAAGACAGGCTATGTGCACACTGCCCACAAAATGAGGTGGAAACGGAGCTGCACTTCCTAACCTCCTGCCAAATGTATGACCATATTAGAGACACACGTTTCCCTCAGATTACACAGACCCACAAAGAATTGGAAAACAAATCCAATTTTTATAAACTCCCATATCTATTGGGTGAAATACCACAGTGTGCCATCACAGCAGCAAGATTTGTGACCTGTTGCCACAAGAAAATGGCAACCAGTGAAGAATAAACACCATTGTAAATAAATAAAATAAAATAAAATAAAATTGTATTTGTCACATACACGTGTTTAGCAGATGTTATAGCGGGTGTAGCGAAATGCTTGTGCTTCTAGCTCCGACAGTGCAGTAATATCTAACAAGTAATATCTAACAATTTCACAACATATACCAAATACACACAAATCTAGTAAAGAATGGGATTTAAGAATATATACATATACCGTCAGGAGGCCACAGTGTTGAGTAGGGTGTAGTGTACCGTCAGGAGGCCACAGTGTTGAGTAGGGTATAGTGTACCGTCAGGTGGCCACAGTGTTGAGTAGGGTGTAGTGTACCGTCAGGAGGCCACAGTGTTGAGTAGGGTGTAGTGTACCGTCAGGTGGCAGTTGGCCACAGTGTTGAGTAGGGTTTAGTTTTCCGTCAGGGGCCCCAGTTTGAGTAGGGTTTAGGTACCGCCCGGTTGGCCACAGTGTTAAAGTAGGGTGTAGTTTTACCGTCAGGAGGCCACATTTGTTAAATTAGGGTTATTTTACCGTAAAGGTGGCCACAGTGTTGATTTGGGTGTATTTACCTCGGTTTGGCCACAGTTTTGAGTAGGGTGTAGTGTACCGTCGGGTTTGGCCCAGTGTTTGAGTAGGGTGTAGTGTACCGTCAGGGGCAGTTGGCCACAGTTTTGAGTGGGGTTTAGGGGAAACCGTCAGGGGGGGCCCCCGTGTTGAGTAGGGTGTATTGAAAACCGTCGGGAGGCGGGGGGCCCACAGGTGTTGAGTGGGGTGTAGGGGTACCGTCGGGACCCGGGTTGGCCACAGTGTTGATTAGGGTGTAGTGTCCCCGTCCGAGGGCCCCAGGTTGATGGGGGGTTTTTGGAAACCGTCAGGGGGCCCCCATTTTTTTAGTGGTTTTGTAGGGGTACCGTCAGGGGGGCCACAGTGTTAGTGGGGGTGTAGTTACCGTCAGGGGCTTTTGGCCACTTTTTATTAGGGTGTAGTGTCCCCTTCAGGGCCACAGTGTTGATTAGGGTTGAAAGGGGGTACCGTCAGGGGCAGGGGGCCACAGGGGTTGGGGTAGGGGGGGTAGTGACCGTCAGGAGGCGGGGTTGGCCCCCGTTTTTGAGTAGGGTGAAATTGTACCGCCCGGGAGGCCACAGTTTTGGGGTGGGTGTAGTGAAAACCGTCAGGTGGCCACCGTTTTTAAATAGGGGGTAGTGAAACCGTCAGGAGGCCACAGTGTTGGTGGGTTTTAGTGTCCGTCGGGTGGCCACAGGGGGTTAAAGAAAGGGTGTAGTTTACCGTCAGGGGGCCCACAGTTTTGAGTAGGGTGTATTTAAAACCGTCAGGAGGCCACAGTGTTAAAGTAGGGTGTATTTGAAACCGTCAGGGGCCACAGTGTTGATTAGGGTGTAGGGGTACCTTAGGGGGCCCCACACCAGGGGTTTGAGTGGGGTGTAGTGTCCCTCAGGGGCCCAGGGGTTGAGTAGGGTTTAGGTCCCCGTCGGGGGGGCATTTTGGCGGGAGAACTCTGCAGGCAGTGGCGTAGAGCATACCCCCTCTGAGGACAGCCAACCAAACCCGAGACAAACGGCATTTTTCAGGCGGCACCAGCATAACAGGCTATCAGGGGGAAAGGCCCGCTCCCACCTCCTCCTCCCCCCTCTTCCTCCTCTCCTCCTCCTCCCTTCACCTCCTTCACCGGCGAGCCCTCTGTTTCCCCTTCCCTTTTATTTTCCCAGGGCCCAACCCATACCCTTTGAAGACGGGGGGGGGGGGTGAAGAGAAGAAAATATTTTTGGCGACAGAGAGCACAAGAGAGAGAAAGAGAGAGAGTAAAGAGAGAGAGAGAGAGAAGAGACAGGGGAGATGGGGAAAAGCCCGAAAAAGGGGAAGAGAGCCAAGAAAAAGAGAGACAAAACCCAAGACAGAGACTAGACGGGAAGAAACCTAGACAGAGAAAAGAGAAGGACAGAAAACAATAGACAAGACAGAGGACCCCCACAGAGAGAGAAGAGACCAATAAGACAAGAAGAGACAGGAGAGCCCAAGGGGGGAAAACAAGAGAGACAGAGAGAAGACAAAAGAGAGAGAAAAAAGAGAGAAGAAAAAAGAGAGAGAGGAGAGAGAGAGATAGAGAGAGAAAAAGAGAAGAGAGAGAGAAGAGAGAAAAGAGAGAGAGAGAGATAGAGAGAGAGAAAGAAAAGGAGAAGGGGATGAGAAGAGAGAAAAAAGGAGGAGAAAAATAGAGAAAAGAGAGAAAAACCCTTTTCCCTCTCTTTTTACTCTCTCCTCTCCCCCTTCCCTTCCCCCCGCTTTCCCCCCCCCCCACCCCCCCCAATGCCCCCGGGGGCCCCGGTCAAATTATTTAAATTTAGGGGCGGTTCATTTGGTAGGGGACCCCGGGTATTTTCCCGCCCAGGGAAACGAGATATGTTTTTTTTTTTTCCCCCGGTTTCCCCCTTCCGGGGCCGGGTTTTTTGGGGGGAAAAATTACTGTTATTATTAATGCCTTTTTAAACAAAGACTTCCTCGGGGAAAATGAAAAACCAAGGGGGAGGGAGGGGGGGGGAGGGAATTCTTAAAACAGGGGGAATAAGGGGAAGAAAACTGGTCGGGGAACTTTAAGGGGGGGTTTGGGGTTTTCGAAGGGGGGGGGTTTAAACGGATTTTGGGGGTTAAAAATTTGGGACAAACTTGGGAAGGGTGGGAAAAATTTGGGGTTAAAGGGGGGGAAGGTTTAATTCTTTAAATGCCCGGGGGGGGGTTTAAATAAAAAAAAAGTTTTTTTAGTTAAAGAGGACGGGACGTTGGGGGGGAATTTTTGGGGGGAGGGGGAAAAAAAAAACTTGGGGGTGGGGGGGCCTAAAAAAAGCTTTAAGGGGGGGGTTCAAAATTGAATTTCCAAAGGGGAAATTGGGGGAATTGGGGGGTGGGGGGGAGGGGAAAACGGGGAAAAAGGGGGGGGGAGGGGGAAAGGGGGAAGGGGGGAATAAATTAAACAGGGGGGGATTGGGTAGGGGGAAAAAAATTAAAAAAAAAAAAAGGGGGCCGAAAACAAATTCTTTTAAAAGGTTTTAACAATTTGAAAAAATTTAAAATCGGGGGAAACCTTTTTGGGGGGGGTTAAATAATTTGAAATAGGGGGCACCTGGGGGGCAATAGCCCCCCTAAAAGATTTTGGGGGGGTGGGGGGTAGTTCCGGGGGGGAAAAGGGGGGGGGGGAAATAATGGCCCCCAATTGGGGAAACAAAAAGGGGTAACACCAAACCCCCCAATGTTAAACCATTTAATTTTTGGGTGTCAATTTTAAAAAAAAACCCCTCTTTAACCAGGGGGGGGGGTTTTTTTAAAGGGGGATTTCGTTTTTTGGGTTAAGTCCCGGGGGGCCCCAAGGGCCAAAATTTTAAAACTTTTTTTTTTTTGCGGGACCGGCTTACCCGAAGGGCCGTTTTCAAAAAAAATTTGGGTTGGCCCTTTCACCCCCTTTTTTTCTAAAAGGTTTAAAACAAAAGGAAAAGGCAATAAACCCATAAAATTCCCAAAACATTCACCAAGGTCATTTTCAAAAACCGGGTCCCTTTTACCCTTTTGTTTTTAGCCCTTTAAAAATTAAAGAATTAAAAAAATTAATTTAAAGAGAGAGAAAGGGCCAAAAATTGGTTTTAATTTTCCCATAAACCCTTTAAAATTTGGGGGGGGGGGGGGGTTAGAAGGAATAACTTTAGCCTATCCCAGGTATTCCTTAAAGAGGTGGGGTTTCAAATGTCTCCGGAAGGTGGTGAGTGACTCCGCTGTCCTGGCGTTCGTGAGGGAGCTTGTTCCACCATTGGGGTGCCAGAGCAGCGAACAGTTTTGACTGGGCTGAGCGGGAGCTGTGCTTCCGCAGAGGAAGGGGAGCCAGCAGGCCAGAGGTGGATGAACGCAATGTCCTCGTTTGGGTGTAGGGACTGATCAGAGCCTGAAGGTACAGGGGTGCCGTTCCCCTCACTGCTCCAAAGGCAAGCACCATGGTCTTGTAGCGGATGCGAGCTTCAATTGGAAGCCAGTGGAGTGTGCGGAGGAGGGGGGTGACGTGAGAGAACTTGGGAAGGTTTGAACACCAGACGGGCTGCGGCATTCTGGATGAGTTGTAGGGGTTTAATGGCACAGGCAGGGAGCCCAGCCAACAGCGAGTTGCAGTAGTCCAGACGGGAGATGACAAGTGCCTGGACCAGGACCTGCGCCGCTTCCTGTGTAAGGCAGGGTCGCACTCTCCGAATGTTGTAGAGCATGAACCTGCAGGAGCGGGTCACCGCCTTGATGTTGGCGGAGAACGACAGGGTGTTGTCCAGGGTCACGCCTAGGCTCTTCGCACTCTGGGAGGAGGACACAGCGGAGTTGTCTACCGTGATGGCGAGATCATGGAACGGGCAGTCCTTCCCCGGGAGGAAGAGCAGCTCCGTCTTGCCAGGGTTCAGCTTGAGGTGGTGATCCGTCATCCATACTGATATGTCTGCCAGACATGCAGAGATGCGATTCGCCACCTGGTTATCAGAAGGGGATCATCCCAGAAGGGGGAAACAATCAACAATCAATCATTTATCTTCTCACTGAATACAAAACCTACATGTACTTTGTCAAGAAAGGTTATTTTCAGTGGGAGTGATTTACAAGTGCTGCCCGTGTGTGCGCCTGAAAAAAAAAAAAAAGAGACTCATTGTTCATAAAAATGTCACAGTCTGACATTCATAACTGGGGTGGAAAGAATTCTGGACTTTTAAAAGAGCCAGCCTCCCTCCAACTTTTCCTGTTGCGTGTTTGCGGAGGAATGACATTTGGAGATCAGAGCCCTTTTAGAGAGGGTGACACACTGATCTAGGATCAGCGACTACACACAAAAAACAAATAGATCTATATAGCACCAGATAAGGGTTATTTGGCTTGTAACCATAGCAGATCCTTTTTGGTGCTATATAGAACCTTTTTTGAAGGTTCTATAAAGAACCATGCTCATAAGGTTCTAAATGGAAACATTTATGATGCTATAAAGAACTTTCCTAAGGTTCTATAAAGAACTATTAAAAAAGGTTCTATATAGCAGCAAAAAGGGTTCCGCTATGGTTACAACCCTTTTTAATGGTTCTTTATAGAACCTTTAACCGTTCTCAATCACAAAGGTTCTACAAATAACTTTTTGAAGAACCATACAGGCTTTGTTATTCAGGTTAGCCATATTATTTTGTAGAAATTCCATAAGCATTTATATTGTGTTAATTGACGAGTTGAATCAGGTGTGATGTTATGTTTGATGCCGGAGCTCCGAGGCACGCGTTGAAATCGATAAGCAGTGTACTTCGAAGCAGTGTGCCGATGCCTGTATCACTTTATCAGAAGCACGTGATGAATGACGTCCGAAGCTTCGTTTCGTCGAACAACCACCTGATTGGTTTGGTATTGGTTTGATAGAAGACATAAAACTATACACGTGCTACGGGGGTGTGGGACGTCTTCTATAATAAATTGGCTGCTCAAAATTATTTTGTCCAGCAGGTGCCACTAGTGTTCACTGGTGTTGATCAAAGCCTCAAGTAATGAACCTATTTTCAACACAATTGGCTGGAAAACCTCAAATGCTTCAGGAAGCTGTTTCCCCATTACTAGTGCTAGCTATGGAATGGCTGGGTGTCCCTACAGAGATAATTGAGATCCTCTGATTTGGTCAACAATTCCCATTTCACACAAGGCCATATGTGAGTCTTTCAGAAGACACCGTCACTGGCCATAGTCATATATCATATATAATGGCATAACACAACTGATAAGATCAACTGGAACGACACTCTCTCTCTCACGGTTGCACAAAAAGATCTCTGCGCAAACCACGCCCCAAAATATTAGAATGAGCTTCCGCCTCTACATTTTAATTATCACTGAAAGAGCAAAGAACCCTTTTCAGAACTGCAAAGAACCATTAAAGAGCTCAAAGGGTTATTTTAGTCATTATGGTTCCACATAGAACCATCACCCTTCCCATAGAACCCTTGAGGAACCCTCTTTTCCAAGTGTGTATGGCCGTGGCATAAGGTTCTTAACATATCTTTAGCATGTCTGAAACATCTCCTCTTAAAAAATGTTCTTAGCATGTCTTTCTGAGCAGAAAATAGCCCATTATGATATTTTGAGCCAACAGCAACAAAATCTTAAAATTAAATATTTAATTGACAATATGTTGAGGTTGACTGCAGGATTATATGGAAATGTTGAGGGTGACTGCAGGATTATAAGGAAATGTTGAGGGTGACTGCAGGATTATATGGAAATATTGAGGGTGACTGCGGGATTATAGGGAAATGTTGAGGGTGACTGCAGGATTATAAGGGAATGTTGAGGGTGACTGCGGGATTATAGGGGAATGTTGAGGGTGACTGCAGGATTATAGGGAAATGTTGAGGGTGACTGCAGGATTATATGGAAATATTGAGGGTGACTGCGGGATTATAGGGAAATGTTGAGGGTGACTGCAGGATTATAGGGAAATGTTGAGGGTGACTGCAGGATTATAGGGGAATGTTGAGGGTGACTGCGGGATTATAGGGAAACTATGCCTCAAACCATGTTATATGAAGGGTGTGGTTTGACTGGAACACAAACACACTCATTGCATCTCTGTCCTGTGTCTGTCTGTCTGTCTGTCTGTCTGTCTGTCTGTCTGTCTGTCTGTCTGTCTGTCTGTCTGTCTGTCTGTCTGTCTGTCTGTCTGTCTGTCTGTCTGTCTGTCTGTCTGTCTGTCTGTCCTGTGTCTGTCTGTCTGTCCTGTGTCTGTCTGTCTGTGTGTGTCTGTCCTTCTGTCCTGTGTCTGTCTGTCTGTCCTGTGTCTGTCTGTCTGTCTGTCTGTCTGTCCTGTGTCTGTCCTGTGTCTGTCTGTCTGTCCGTGTGTGTGTGTGTGTCCCTCTCTGTCCTGTTTCCAGCCTACTGCATCAGTTTGAGCACCATTTGCATCTCTCTGATGTTCATCTGGGTCGGGGCTTTCTTCTGGTCTGTGGCTCCACTGCTGGGCTGGGGCAGCTACACAGGTTAGTGTCTCCGTCCATCCATTCATTCATCCATCCATCCATTAATCCATCCATTTATCCATCCATTCATTCATCCATCTATCCATTAATCCATCCATTTATCCATCCATTCATTCATCCATCCATCCATCCATTCATCCATCCATCCATTCATATATCCGTTCATCCATCAAAGCACTGCTCTAAGCCATCCATTTATATATCCTTCCATTCATCCATCCATCCATTAATTCATCCATCCATCCATCCATTAATCCAATCCATCCATTCATATATCCGTTCATCCATCGAAGCACTGCTCTAAGCCATCCATTCATATATCCTTCCATTCATCCATCCATCCATTAATTCATCCATCCATCCATCCATTAATCCATCCATCCATTCCCCTATCTCTAGCTCCAGACGGTGGGTACGGGAACTGTGAGGTGGACTGGTCCAGGGCTAACTACTCCACCATCTACAAGTCCTACATCATCTCCATCCTCATCTTCTGCTTCTTCATCCCAGTCACGGTCATGGTCTTCTCCTACGTCTCCATCATCAGTACCGTGAAGAGCAGCAACGCCATGTCAGCTGACGGGTACCTCTCATCCAGACAGAGGAAAGTGGAACGAGACGTCACTAGGGTGAGTCAATTAACCAACCAACCAGCCGACCAACCAATCAATCAATTAACCAACCAAATCAAATCAAATCGTATTTGTCACACGCGCCGAATACAACAGGTGAAGACCTTACAGTGAAATGCTTACTGACAAGCTTTAATCAACAATGCAGTTTTAAGAACAATAGAAAAATAACAAGTAATTAAAGAGCAGCAGTAAAATAAAATAACAATAGCGAGGCTATATACAGGGGGTACCGGTACAGAGTCAATGTGCGGGGGCACCGGTTAGTCGAGGTAATTGAGGTAATATGTACATGTGGGTAGAGTTAAAGTGACTATGCATAAATAATAAGCAGAAGAGTAGCTGTTCAGGAGTCTTATGGCTTGGGGGTAGAAGCTGTTGAGGAGCCTTTTGGACCTAGACTTGGTGCTCCGATACCCCTTGCCGTGCGGTAGCAGAGAGAACAGTCTATGACTAGGGTGGCTGGAGTCTTTGACAATTTTTAGGGCCTTCCTCTGACACCACCTGGTATAGAGGTCCTGGATGGCAGGAAGCTTGGCCCCAGTGATGTACTGGGCCGTACGCACTACCCTCTGTAGTGCCTTGCAGTCGGAGGCCGAGCAGTTGCCATACCATTTACATTTACATTTACGTCATTTAGCAGACGCTCTTATCCAGAGCGACTTACAAATAGGCGCATTCACCTTATAGCCAGTGGGATCACCACTTTACAAAGTTTTTTTTTTTTTTTGGGGGGGGGGGTTGGGGTTTGGGTTGGGGTAAGGGGGGGATAGAAGGATTACTTTATCCTATCCCAGGTATTCCTTAAAGAGGTGGGTTTTCAAATATCTCCGGAAGGTGGTGAGTGACTCCGCTGTCCTGGCGTCGTGAGGGAGCTTGTTCCACCATTGGGGTGCCAGAGCAGCGAACAGTTTTGACTGGGCTGAGCGGGAACTATGCTTCCGCAGAGGTAGGGGAGCCAGCAGGCCAGAGGTGGATGAACGCAATGCCCTCGTTTGGGTGTAGGGACTGATCAGAGCCTGAAGGTACAGAGGTGCCGTTCCCCTCACAGCTCCGTAGGCAAGCACCATGGTCTTGTAGCAGATGCGAGCTTCAACTGGAAGCCAGTGGAGTGTGCGGAGGAGCGGGGTGACGTGAGAGAACTTGGGAAGGTTGAACACCAGATGGGCTGCGGCATTTTGGATGAGTTGTAGGGGTTTAATGGCACAGGCAGGGAGCCCAGCCAACAGCGAGTTGCAGTAATCCAGACGGGAGATGACAAGTGCCTGGATTAGGACCTGTGCCGCTTCCTGTGTAAGGCAGGGTCGTACTCTCCGAATGTTTGTAGAGCATGAACCTACAGGATCTGGTCACCGCCTTGATGTTAGCGGAGAACGACAGGGTGTTGTCCAGGGTCACGCCAAGGCTCTTCGCACTCTGGGAGGAGGACACAACAGAGTTGTCAACCGTGATGGCGAGATCATGGAACAGGCAGTCCTTCCCCGGGAGGAAGAGCAGCTCCGTCTTGCCAAGGTTCAGCTTGAGGTGGTGATCCGTCATCCATACTGATATGTCTGCCAGACATGCAGAGATGCGATTCGCCACCTGGTTATCAGAAGGGGGAAAGGAGAAGATTAGTTGTGTGTCGTCAGCGTAGCAATGATAGGAGAGGCCATGTGAGGATATGACAGAGCCAAGTGACTTGGTGTATAGGGAGAATAGGAGAGGGCCTAGAACTGAGCCCTGGGGGACACCAGTGGTGAGAGCACGTGGTGCGGAGACAGCTTCTCGCTACGCCACTTGGAAGGAGCGACTGGTCAGGTAGGACGCAATCCAAGAGTGAGCCGCGCCGGAGATGCCCAGCTCGGAGAGGGTGGAGAGGAGGATCTGATGGTTCACAGTATCAAAGGCAGCAGACAGGTCTAGAAGGACAAGAGCAGAGGAGAGAGAGTTAGCTTTAGCAGTGCGGAGAGCCTCCGTGACACAGAGAAGAGCAGTCTCAGTTGAATGACCAGTCTTGAAACCTGACTGGTTTGGATCAAGAAGGTCATTCTGAGAGAGATAGCAAGAGAGTTGGCTAAAGACGGCACGCTCAATAGTTTTGGAGAGAAAAGAAAGAAGGGATACTGGTCTGTAGTTGTTGACATCAGAGGGATCGAGTGTTGGTTTTTTGAGAAGGGGTGCAACTCTCGCTCTCTTGAAGACGGAAGGGACATAGCCAGCGGTCAAGGATGAGTTGATCAGCGAGGTGAGGTAAGGGAGAAGGTCACCGGAGATGGTCTGGAGAAGAGAGGAGAGGATAGGGTCAAGCGGGCAGGTTGTTGGGCGGCCTGCCGTCACAAGTCGCAAGATTTCATCTGGAGAGAGAGGGGAGAAAGAAGTCAAAGCATAGGGTTAGGGCAGTGTGAGCAGGACCAGCAGTGTCATTTGACTTAACAAACGAGGATCGGATGTCGTCAACCTTCTTTTCAAAATGGTTGACGAAGTCATCCACAGAGAGGGGGGGGGGGGGGGGGGGGGATTCAGCAGGGAGGAGAATGTGGCAAAGAGCTTCCTATGGTTAGAGGCAGATGCTTGGAATTTAGAGTGGTAGAAAGTGGCCTTAGTAGCAGAAACAGATGAAGAAAATGTAGAGAGGAGGGAGTGAAAAGATGCCAGGTCCGCAGGGAGTCTAGTTTTCTTCCATTTCTGCTCAGCTGCCCGGAGCTCTGTTCTGTGAGCTCGCAATGAGTCATCAAGCCACGGAGCTGTAGGGGAGGACCGAGCCGGCCGGGAGGATAGGGGACATAGAGAGTCAAAGGATGCAGAAAGGGAGGAGAGGAGGGTTGAGGAGGCAGAATCAGGAGATTGGAGGGAGAAGGATTGAGCAGAGGGAAGAGATGATAGGATGGAAGAGGAGAGAGTAGCGGGAGAGAGAGAGTGAAGGTTGCGACGGCGCATTACCATCTGTGTAGGGGCAGAGTGAGTAGTGTTGGAGGAGAGCGAGAGAGAAAAGGATACAAAGTAGTGGTCGGAGACATGGAGGGGAGTTGCAGTGAGATTAGTAGAAGAACAGCATCTAGTAAAGATGAGGTCAAGCGTATTGCCTGCCTTGTGAGTAGGGGGGGACGGTGAGAGGGTGAGGTCAAAAGAGGAGAGGAGTGGAAAGAAGGAGGTAGAGAGAAATGAGTCAAATGTAGACGTAGGGAGGTTGAAATCCCCCAGAACTGTGAGGGGTGAGCCATCCTCAGGAAAGGAACTGATCAAGGCGTCAAGCTCATTGATGAACTCTCCAAGGGAACCTGGAGGGCGATAGATGACAAGGATATTAAGCTTAAATGGGCTAGTGACTGTGACAGCATGGAATTCAAATGAGGAGATAGACAGATGGGTCAGGGGAAAAATTTAGAATGTCCACTTGGGAGAGATGAGGATTCCTGTGCCACCACCCTGCTGACCAGATGCTCTCGGGGTATGCGAGAACACATGGTCAGACGAGGAGAGAGCAGTAGGATTAGCAGTGTTTTCAGTGGTAATCCATGTTTCCGTCAGCGCCAAGAAGTCGAGGGACTGGAGGGTAGCATAGGCTGAGATGAACTCTGCCTTGTTGGCAGCAGAACGGCAGTTCCAGAGGCTGCCTGAGACCTGGAACTCCACGTGGGTGGTGCGTGCAGGGACCAGGCAGTGATGCAACCAGTCAGGATGCTCTCGATGGTGCAGCTGTAGAAACTTTTGAGGATCTGAGGACCCATGCCAAATCTTTTCAATCCATGAGGGGGAATAGGCTTTGTCGTGCCCTCTTCACGACTGTCTTGGTGTGTTTGGACCATGATAGTTTGTTGGTGATGTGGACACCAAGGAACTTGAAGCTCTCAACCTGCTCCACTACAGCCCCGTCAATGAGAATGTGGGTGTGCTCGGTCCTCTTCTTTTTCCAGTAGTCCACAATCATCTCCTTTGTCTTGATCACGTTGAGGGAGAGGTTGTTATCCTGGCACCACACGGCCAGGTCTCTGACCTCCTCCCTATAGGCTGTCTCATCGTTGTCGGTGATCAGGCCCTTCCACTGTTGTGTTGTCAGCTAAATTAATGATGGTGTTGGAATTGTGCCTGGCCATGCAGTCATGAGTGAACAGGGAGTACAGGAGGGGACTGAGCATGCACCACTGAGGGGCCCCCGTGTTGAGGATCAGCGTGGCAGATGTGTTGTTACCTACCCTTACCACCTGGGGGTGGCCCGTCAGGAAGTCCAGGATCCAGTTGCAGAGGGAGGTGTTTAGTCCCAGGGTCCTTAGCTTAGTGATGAGCTTTGAGGGCACTATGGTGTTGAAGCTGTAGTCAATGAATAGCATTCTCACATAGGTGTTCCTTTTGTCCATTTGGTAAAGGGCAGTGTGGAGTGCAATAGAGATTGCATCATCTGTGGATCTGTTGGGGCGGTATGCAAATTGGAGTGGGTCTAGGGTTTCTGGGATAATGGGATAACCCTAACCCAACCAATCAACCAACCAACCAGCCAACCAACCAACCAACCAACCAATCAACCAGCCAGCCAACCAACCAACCAACCAATCAACCAACCAACCAACCAACCAGCCAACCAACCAACCAACCAACCAACCAATCAACCAACCAACCAATTAATACATTCAATCAATAACATTTAGTTAGAGGACCTATTTACATCAACAGAACCGAAACAGAAAGTGATTTAAAAATAACCCAGCCTAGACCGCAAAAGGTTCAAATCAAATGAAAAATATTTGTCACATGCAAACAACAGGTGTAGACTAACAGTGAAATGCTAACTGACGGTCCCTTCCCAACAATGCAGAGAGAAAAACAGAAAAATAATAACACAAGGAATAAATACACGATGAGTAACGATAACTTGGCTATATACAGTACATGGGGTACCAGTACCGAGTCGATGTGCAGGGGGACGAGGTAATGGAGGTAGATATGTACATATACTGTAGGTAGGGGTAAAGTGACTAGGCAACAGGATAGATAATAGACAGTAGCAGCAGTATACTGAAGGTAGGGGTAAAGTGACTAGACAACAGGATAGATAATAGACAGTAGCAGCAGTATACTGTAGGTAGGGGTAAAGTGACTAGGCAACAGGATAGATAATAGACAGTAGCAGCAGTATACTGTAGGTAGGGGTAAAGTGACTAGACAACAGGATAGATAATAGACAGTAGCAGCAGTATACTGTAGGTAGGGGTAAAGTGACTAGACAACAGGATAGATAATAGAACAGTAGCAGCAGTATACTGTAGGTTAGGGGTAAAGTGACTAGGCAACAGGATAGATAATAGACAGTAGCAGCAGTATACCGTAGGTAGGGGTAAAGTGACTAGACAACAGGATAGATAATAGACAGTAGCAGCAGTATACTGTAGGTAGGGGTAGAGTGACTAGACAACAGGATAGATAATAGACAGTAGCAAGCAGTATACTGTAGGTAGGGGTAAAGTGACTAGGCAACAGGATAGATAATAGACAGTAGCAGCAGTATACTGTAGGTAGGGGGTAAAGTGACTAGGCAACAGGATAGATAATAGACAGTAGCAGCAGTATACTGTAGGTAGGGGTAAAGTGACTAGACAACAGGATAGATAATAGACAGTAGCAGCAGTATACTGTAGGTAGGGGTAAAGTGACTAGGCAACAGGATAGATAATAGACAGTAGCAGCAGTATACTGTAGGTAGGGGTAAAGTGACTAGACAACAGGATAGATAATAGACAGTAGCAGCAGTATACTGTTGGTAGGGGTAAAGTGACTAGACAACAGGATAGATAATAGACAGTAGCAGCAGTATACTGTAGGTAGGGGTAAAGTGACTAGACAACAGGATAGATAATAGACAGTAGCAGCAGTATACTGTAGGTAGGGGTAAAGTGACTAGACAACAGGATAGATAATAGACAGTAGCAGCAGTATACTGTAGGGAGGGGTAAAGTGACTAGACAACAGGATAGATAATAGACAGTAGCAGCAGTATACTGTAGGTAGGGGTAAAGGGACTAGACAACAGGATAGATAATAGACAGTAGCAGCAGTATACTGTAGGTAGGGGTAAAGTGACTAGACAACAGGATAGATAATAGACAGTAGCAGCAGTATACTGTAGGTAGGGGTAAAGTGACTAGACAACATGATAGATAATAGACAGTAGCAGCAGTATACTGTAGGTAGGGGTAAAGTGACTAGGCAACAGGATAGATAATAGACAGTAGCAGCAGTATACTGTAGGTAGGTGTAAAGTGACTAGACAACAGGATAGATAATAGACAGTAGCAGCAGTATACTGTAGGTAGGGGTAAAGTGACTAGACAACAGGATAGATAATAGACAGTAGCAGCAGTATACTGTAGGTAGGGGTAAAGTGACTAGACAACAGGATAGATAATAGACAGTAGCAGCAGTATACTGTAGGGAGGGGTAAAGTGACTAGGCAACAGGATAGATAATAGACAGTAGCAGCAGTATACTGTAGGTAGGGGTAAAGTGACTAGGCAACAGGATAGATAATAGACAGTAGCAGCAGTATACTGTAGGTATGGGTAAAGTGACTAGACAACAGGATAGATAATAGACAGTAGCAGCAGTATACTGTAGGTAGGGGTAAAGGGACTAGACAACAGGATAGATAATAGACAGTAGCAGCAGTATACTGTAGGTAGGGGTAAAGTGACTAGACAACAGGATAGATAATAGACAGTAGCAGCAGTGTATGTGATGAGTCAAAAGAGTTAGTGCAAAAGGGGATCAAAGCAGATAGAGATTGAGTCATCTGTGGATCTGTTGGGGCGGTATGCGAATTGGAATGGGTCTAGGGTGTCTGGGATGATGGTGTTGATATGAGCCATGACCAGCCTTTCAAAGCATGTCATGGCTACAGATGTGAGTGCTACGGGGCGATAGTCATTTAGACAGGTTGCCTTGGCGTTATTGGGCACAAGGACTATGGTGGTCTGCTTGAAACATGTTGGTATTACAGACTGGGTCAGGAAGATGTTGAAAAGGTCAGTGAAGACACTTGCCAGCTGGTCAGCGCATGCTACAAGTCCTGGTAATCTGTCTGGCATCGCAGACTTGTGAATGTTAACCCGTTTAAAGGTCTTACTCACATTGGCTATGAAAAGCGAAATCACACAAGTCGTCCGGAACGGCTGGTGCTCTCATGCATGGTTCAGAGTCACTTACCTAGAGGCGAGCATAGAAGGCATTTCACTCTTCTGGTAGGCTCGTGTCACTGGGGCAACTAGCGGTTGCGATTCCCTTTGTAATCCTTGATAGTTTTCAAGCCCTGCCACATCCAACGAGCGTCAGAGCCGGTGTTGTAGGATTCGATCTTAGTCCTGTATCGACGCTTTGCCTGTTTGATATCTCTTTGGAGGGCATAGCAGGATTTCTTATCAGCAGCGTCCAGATTAGTGTCCCGCTCACTGAAAGCGGCAGTTCTGTCCTTAAATTCAGTGTGGATGTTGCCTATAATCCATGGCTTCTGGTTGGAATATGTACGTACGGTCACTGTGGGGATGATGTCGTCGATGCTCTTATTAATGAAGCTGGTGACTGCTGTGGTAAACTCCTCAATGCCATCGGATGAATCGCGAAACGTATTCCAGTCTGTGCTGAGAGAAACAGTCCTGTAGCTTTTTTAAACATATTTTCTCTGTCCCTTCTCCTCCAGGTCTCCATAGTGATCTGCACAGCCTTCATCATGGCGTGGTCTCCCTATGCGGTGGTCTCCATGTGGTCTGCCTGTGGTTACCACGTCCCCAACATGACTTTGATCTTCACCCGTCTCTTCGCTAAGTCCGCCTCCTTGTACAACCCCTTCATCTACTTCGGAATGAGTTCTAAGTTCCGTAAGGACGTCTTCGCGCTGTTGCCATGTTACGGTGGCTCCGCCCACAAGGAAGTGGTCCGTCTCAAGAACTTCCAGGAGCTTAACGAGCTGAAGCCGAAAGACCATCCCGAGGCCACGACCCTTTTTGTGCTTCCTGTGACCTCACTTCCTCTGCAGTCGAGAGAGGGGAAGTACAGCAAGGAAGAGATGCTGCAGCCAGAGGGTCCCATGGCTCAGGATTCAGACTCAGGGGTGAACAGTCCATCCCACACCCCACCTACTGCCAGTCAGGAGTCCCTCTACTACATTCCCAATGTACCCCTTACCCCCTTACCCAGCATGCACTCTGAGACGCCAGAGTACGAGAGCGACAGACTCTAAAGATCTCTAAATGTGCATCCAAAATGGCACGCTACACGCTTAGAGAAAAAAAAAAGGTGCTATCTAGAACCTAAAAGGGTTCTTCGGGCTGTCCCCATAGCAGAACCTATTCCAGGTAGAATCCTTTTTGCGTTCCATGTAGAACCCTTTTTCTACCTGAAACCAAAAATGTTCTACCTGGAAGCAAAAACAGTGTTTGATCCAAAATAGAACCCCATTCTCTACATAGTGCACTACTTTTGACCAGGGCCCTATGGGAGTATATAGGGAATAGGGTTCACTATATAGGGAATAGGGTTCACTATATAGGGAATAGGGTGTCATTATATAGGGAATAGGGTGTCATTATATAGGGAATAGGGTGTCATTATATAGGGAATAGGGTGTCATTATATAGGGAATAGGGGTCATTATATAGGGAATAGGGTGTCATTATATAGGGAATAGGGTGGTCATTATATAGGGAATAGGGTGTCATTATATAGGGAATAGGGTGTCATTATATAGGGAATAGGGTGTCATTATATAGGGAATAGGTGTCATTATATAGGGAATAGGGTTTCATTATATAGGGAATAGGGTGTCATTATATAGGGAATAGGGTGTCATTATATAGGGAATAGGGTGTCATTATATAGGGAATAGGGTGTCATTATATAGGGAATAGGGTGTCATTATATAGGGAATAGGGTGTCATTATATAGGGAATAGGGTGTCATTATATAGGGAATAGGGGTCATTATATAGGGAATAGGGTGTCATTATATAGGGAATAGGTGTCATTATATAGGGAATAGGGTTGTCATGTCATATAGGGAATAGGGTGTCATTATATAGGGAATAGGGTGTCATTATATAGGGAATAGGGTGGTCATTATATAGGGAATAGGGTGTCATTATATAGGGAAATAGGTGTCATTATATAGGGAATAGGGTGTCATTATATAGGGGACTAGGGTGTCATTATATAGGGAATAGGGTTGTCAGTTATATAGGGAATAGGGTGTCATTATATAGGGAATAGGGTGTCATTATATAGGGAATAGGGTGTCATTATATAGGGAATAGGGTTGTCATTATATAGGGAATAGGGTGTCTATTATATAGGGGTCATTATATAGGGAATAGGGTGTTATTATATAGGGAATAGGGTGTCATTATATAGGGAATAGGGTGTCATTATATAGGGAATAGGGTGTCATTATATAGGGAATAGGGTGTCATTATATAGGGAATAGGGTCATTATATAGGGAATAGGGTGTTATTATATAGGGAATAGGGTGTCATTATATAGGGACTAGGGTTCACTATATAGGGAATAGGGTGTCATTATATAGGGAATAGGGTGTCATTATATAGGGAATAGGGTGTCATTATATAGGGAATAGGGTTTTGTACATTGCTATTTTTTGTATTTATTGGGGTTATTTATTTAAGTTGATGTGTGCTTGTTTGTGTCAATAAAAAGTTATTTTTTCTCCTGATTCTCAAGAGTGCATTTATTGAAACAGAGTTTCAGAGCACGGAGGTGTACTTGAACATTTTAGTCCTTTAGCAGACGCTCTTATCCAGAGCGACTAACAGTTAGTGAGTGCATACATTTTCATTACTGGCCACCCGTGGGAATCGAACCCACAACCCTGGCGTTGCAAGCGCCACGCTCTACCAACTGAGCTACGTACAAACTCTTCTGTCCTAATGGACTCAGCACTGTCATGACCAGTGATACGTGTGGTTAAGAGTGGGGACATATGGTAACACTCAGAAGCTACGAACTGTGTATGAACTGTGTCTGTAGAGGTACATGTCTTATTGCAGATTGACAGTGTCAGGGGGTATTTAGTATCTGTAGTGTCAGGGGGTATTTAGTATCTGTAGTGTCAGGGGGTATTTAGTATCTGTAGTGTCAGGGGGTATTTAGTATCTGTAGTGTCAGGAGGTATTTAGTATCTGTAGTGTCAGGGGGTATTTAGTATCTGTAGTGTCAGGGGGTATTTAGTATCTGTAGTGTCAGGGGGGTATTAGGATCTGTAGTGTCAGGGGGTATTTAGTATATGTAGTGTCAGGGGTATTTAGTATCTGTAGTGTCAGGGGGTATTAGTATCTGTAGTGTCAGGGGGTATTTAGTATCTGTAGTGTCAGGGGGTATTTAGTATCTGTAGTGTCAGGGGGTATTTAGTATCTGTAGTGTCAGGGGGTATTTAGTATCTGTAAGGCTGTAGTGTCAGGGGGTATTTAGTATCTGTAGTGTCAGGGGGTATTTAGTATATGTAGTGTCAGGGGGTATTTAGTATCTGTAGTGTCAGGGGGTATTTAGTATCTGTAGTGTCAGGGGGTATTTAGTATCTGTAGTGTCAGGGGGTATTTAGTATCTGTAGTGTCAGGGGGTGTTTAGTATCTGTAGTGTCAGGGGGTATTTAGTATCTGTAGTGTCAGGGGGTATTTAGTATCTGTAGTGTCAGGGGGTATTTAGTATATGTAGTGTCAGGGGGTATTTAGTATCTGTAGTGTCAGGGGGTATTTAGTATATGTAGTGTCAGGGGGTATTTAGTATCTGTAGTGTCAGGGGGTATTTAGTATCTGTAAGGCTGTAGTGTCAGGGGGTATTTAGTATCTGTAAGGCTGTAGTGTCAGGGGGTATTTAGTATCTGTAGTGTCAGGGGGTATTTAGTATCTGTAGTGTCAGGGGGTATTTAGTATCTGTAAGGCTGTAGTGTCAGGGGGTATTTAGTATCTTTGCAGGAGTACATTTCTGAGGTGCAGTGGTGCAAGGACTGCGACCATCCTCTTGTCAACCGCCGGGGAATGTGGGTAATTCAGGAGATATGATCAGCATGTGCCCTCTGAGGGAGAACTGTCCTCCACACCACAACAAATACACACACAGGCATACACACACACACGCATACACACACACACACACATACACACACACACACACACACACACACACACACACACACACACACACACACACACACACACACACACACACACACACACTGATGGAGACCTGTCCTGTCCTGCAAGCAAGTCCTGACCAAACACCACCACGCCACCAGTTTCCTATTGCACAGAGGATGGTCCAGAGCCAGGGGACAGTCACAGTCCAGAGCCAGAGGTCAGTCACAGTCCAGAGCCAGAGGACAGTCACAGTCCAGAGCCAGAGGACAGTCACAGTCCAGAGCCAGAGGACAGTCACAGTCCAGAGCCAGAGGACAGTCACAGTCCAGAGCCAGAGGACAGTCACAGTCCAGAGCCAGAGGACAGTCACAGTCCAGAGCCAGAAGACAGTCACAGTCCAGAGCCAGAGGACAGTCACAGTCCAGAGCCAGAGGACAGTCACAGTCCAGAGCCAGAGGACAGTCACAGTCCAGAGCCAGAGGACAGTCACAGTCCAGAGCCAGAGGACAGTCACAGTCCAGAGCCAGGGGACAGTCACAGTCCAGAGCCAGAGGACAGTCACAGTCCAGAGCCAGGGGACAGTCACAGTCCAGAGCCAGAGGACAGTCACAGTCCAGAGCCAGAAGACAGTCACAGTCCAGAGCCAGAGGACAGTCACAGTCCAGAGCCAGAGGACAGTCACAGTCCAGAGCCAGAGGACAGTCACAGTCCAGAGCCAGAGGACAGTCACAGTCCAGAGCCAGAGGACAGTCACAGTCCAGAGCCAGAGGACAGTCACAGTCCAGAGCCAGAGGACAGTCACAGTCCAGAGCCAGAGGACAGTCACAGTCCAGAGCCAGAGGACAGTCACAGTCCAGAGCCAGAGGACAGTCACAGTCCAGAGCCAGAGGACAGTCACCTGACTCTGGACTGTGACTGTCCTCTGGCCCGTCATCTGGCTCTGGCGCTTGCAATGCCAGGATAGTGGGTTTGATTCCCGCTGGGGCCACCCATTCCATACGTAAAATGTATGCAAGCATGACTGGATTAAAGCGTCTGCTAAACGGCAGATATTATGATTTATGCAATGGGTGGGTCTAATCCTGAATGCTGGTTGGTTAAAATCGCATTCCAGCTGGTGTCTATTCCACAAGTTACCACCGGCTAAATCTATGATGTTAAAAAGCCAATTTACTCTGTTCCATCTGACTGCGCAATCCACAGTCTCATCAGCCCAGCCAGGCAATTTATAAACTTGATCTCCACTATAGAAGGCATCTAGACATTATCTCACATTTCTTTTAGACTAGTTTTCAACAGCAGAGGTTTGTATAAACCTTGCTGTATGTCTCTCCGACATTTGTAACATTGTTTTAATATTCAAATTCGATCTCCAGCTGTGGCGTAGTAATGAACGTGTCGGGAGTCGAGACAAGCAGGCAGCGTTTCTCAGCCAGTCGAAATCATGAATCAGCATAATTTGTATGGATATAAACAAAGAAATGTCAATAGAAAACAGGTAAAACTAAATTAAGTGCAGCTAGTTTGCATCTTTCCAGCTTCAGTTTGAAGTGATTGTGTTAGCTGTGTTGTTGGCTAGCTCCTCTGAACAACAGTGTCCTGACGAGAGAGCACATTTTCTATGCCAAGTGAAATCGCACCTCATTAGCTCATTGTTATGGATGTATCCAAATAAATGTAACTAGAAACAGCTTTAAAAAATGCAAATGGAGCTACTTGGCTGTTATTCTGGCTGCACTGTTTGACGTGACTGTAAGTTAGCCGTAGTTGGCTAGCTAGCAAGCAAGGGATAAGAACTTTGCCAGCCAGTATGGCAATGGAACATTTAGAACTAACGACTGAGTCCATAGATACAGAACAAAAAGACTGAACGACCGGGTCGCATCCATAGATACAGAACAAAAAGACTGAACGACCGGGTCGCATCCATAGACACAGAACAAAAAGACTTAACAACTGGGTCGCGTCTCTGTTAACCGAAATGATAGAACGAACGACCAGCCGGCTTGGGTAGCAACCCTAGATTTGTATCGGGACTATATCTTTTGGAAGGATGAAATAGTATGAATAA